GATCGCAATCAAGAATTTCCGTCTCACCAAGGAGACAAGAATTTGAAGCGGATATCTTCAACCAAGTGAGATATCGCGCTCTTCCTCTTCATCAGTTCTAAGACTGACCTGTCGAGGGATCCTAAAAGCTATTACAAATCACAAAAAGCAGTACAACCAATTTTTACGTGGTTCGGCAAATTGCCTACGTCCACGGGGCAAGGAGGGGGAGATCTACTAAAAGAGGGAGAGAATACAACTAGGGTTTAAATCACTCACACTAAAACCCTCAAACAAACTCTCAGATCCCTCACAATATCTCTCTACAAAAGCACAAAAGTACTGCACTATTTCTTTTCTGCAGGCCGCACAAAAAGAACTCCTGCACTTTCGTACTTGAACACAGCTGCCGCAAAATTATCACAACCCAATCCTCTGCCTGAAGCCACAGCGACGAAAAAAAAAGGACAGCAGACTCCTTTTTCTTTTTCTTTGCGTTTGCTTCTGCACCTGATCGCTTGCACCCTGTAGCCGCCAAAGAAAAATCAAAGCTCCTTGCTACTCTATGCCCTAGAAACAATAGTATATATATGGCTTGTATAGGCTATTGGGTGGGCCTTTCACTTGTCCGGCTGGACCAAAACCAAACAAGGCCTTTCACGTTGTCCGCTGAACTAATCACATGGTCCCCACTTCACGTGTTCACAGTGGACGCCTACAGGCACACCCTCAGTCATATCACGGCGCACCCCCCTCTTTGCTACAGTGTAGGGGGCCCACTTGAGATTTTAAAAAAATCTCAAGTGGGCCCCCTGCACTGTAGCAAGAGAGGGAATGTGGCCGGTGGTGTGACTGAGGGTGTGCTTGTATCATTTCTCTTTCAATTATGATTGAGAGGGATGAAATGTCTTTATCGCTCCCTAGCCCAGTCATCGATGATTGAAAATCCTGCTCACTCAATTTTTAGTGTTGTTTATAATATTTAGTTGGTGGTGTGCCCGAGGGGTTGTTTCTGATTTGTACAAGGTATTTTTGTATTTTATAGGGTTATTTACAATTTTCAAAAATTGTAAAGGGTAAAATGTTTACGTGTATTTTTGTAGTTTTTAAAAGTTTTTAGTGTTGTTTATAATATTTAAAATTTTTAAAGAAAATATTTATAATTTTAAAAAAATTCACTGACAACTTTTAGTGATCCACTCAGCAAAGGAAAAAGAAGAAAATGACCAAAAAATCTTATCGCGTTAGTAACTACTAACATTTTTTTTTAGAAAGGACTTACATTGATGACTTCTGAAGTTTAAAAACCCAAATAAAATTTGTTAAAATATTAGGGATCTATATTGAACTGGTGCTTCATATTTAATAGTCCAGGACAAAGTCTACCACAAAAGTTATTTGAAGAGACCTCTCTAGGTATTACTAATTTTCTTATTACAAATTGGATAGAGATCCTCTACGTACTCACTTGTAGAGAGTTTCTACAAATCACAAATCATATCTTCTCACTCAATGATATTCATTATATATATTATATAAAAAAAATTCTTTTAATAACATGACTCACTAAATAAGTCAATAATGTTAAACCATGTAATCAATTGTAGAAGCTCTCTACAATCAAGAATGTAGAGAATACATGCCCTTTGTAATTTAGCTGAAATTTCCCTTTCCAATAACAGTTATTAAAGGTTAAGACATTGAATTATCGACTCAATTTTGTAAAAATGGGGATAAATCAGTCAACATCTATACTTGGAAGTTAATTACCAATACTAGCATATTAGCAATGTGCAAATGCACGTGCACATAACATTGAATTCATGTCTAACAATTTCTTGATCTTACATGCTGACACATTTAAATGCACGTACATGTAACATTGAATTGCTATTTTAACAATTCTCGATCCTACATGTTAACTGTTCTACGATTATTTAATTTGTATTTTTAGAACTTCTAGTAGATCAGTTTGACGCGCATAATGCATATGATAAAAAATAATAATAATTTATGAAAAAATTTGTATACCTTTCACGCATCTAAAATATTATAATTGTATTATTTATTTTAATAGAAGGAATGGAATTGAGCTTAAAATTTATATGACTGTCTTATTTGGCATTATCGAATCTAAATAAAATGAACTTTATTTCATTTATTTTCTAATTTTTTTAGCTTCTCAATTGTAACATGAGGCTACATCAATTTTAGATCGAGGCAACAAAAATTATTATACATAAGAAATTCATCAAATCTTTATAATTTTATTACCATAATAATGCATGGTATAATCTTTTAGTTCTTAAAAACATATTCTTAATTACATATAAATATAAATCTTATTTTAATATGTCACATCCTATTTTACATTATATTGCATTGTTTTTTAATTACATGATTTCGAAAGGTCGATTAGTAAAATATTTAAGTTTAAAAAAGAGAGGGAAGAATGAAAGTAGCCACCTTAGAGCAGCTCCAACCGGGCTGCATTTCTCCAAAATGCAGCCCGGTTGAAGTCCAACCGAGCTCCAAATTTTGGAGCTCGGCTGCAAACCCAACCCCCCAGCTGCATATTTAGAGTTTTTTCTCCAAATATGCAGCCCCCTCCATTTCACTATTCCCCCTAAAAAATACCAATATTAACCCTCAATCTCCTTAACAACATTTCATTATTCCACTTGTGTCCCATTATTTTTTTCTACTTATTTAAAATATGTATATATATATATATATATATATATATATATATATATATATATATATATAAATATATATATATATAATATATATTTATATATTTATATATTAATATTTTTAATGAAAATAATAGTGGACAAATTTTCAAAATCAACTCATTTTCGAAATTTAAATAGGCAAAATCGACCTCTTCGAAATTATTTAGCAAAACCAACCGTTTTCTTCTAGAAAAGGGTCGGTTTTGCCTCGCAGAAATTTTTTTTACGACATACACGGACTGCTAGTCCGTGTATTTCGTGGCAGTTTCGAATAACACGGGACTAGACACTCCCGTGCGATCGGGGGTGTAAAAACCAACCCGCTAGTTCTTCCTCTTGATCGAACTTTTTTTCAACCCAAACCCTTTTCCCCCCCCCTCTTTCACCCACTCCTCAAACCCATCGACGCCGACACCGACCACCGCCCAAGGACCTCCGACCACCGCCGCCGCCGACCAAGGACCCTCCGACCACCGCCGCCGCCGACCAAGTTCGCTCCGACCACCGCCGCCGACCAAAGTAAATTTTGTTTTTTTTTAAATTTTGATTAGCCATGAAATTTCGGATTTGGGAATGGATTTGGGTTGAGATTTGGGAATTATGGTTGAGAGGAATGAATTTAATTGAGATTTGGGATTAAGGTTGAAATTTGGGAATGTATTTAGTTGAGATTAGGGAATTAGGGTTTAGACATGAATAATGTGATTAGGGTTTAGACATGATTAGGGTTTAGACATGAATAATGTGATTTGAGATTAGGGTTTAGCCATGATTAGGGTTTAGACATGAATAATGTGATTTGGGATTAGGGAATTTAGCAATTATTTGCTTTGTAGTTGAGATTAGGGTTTTAAATTTGACTTTAAATTAAGATTAATATTTACAGTTATAATAGATTATTTACATATGATGGACTGTTGATTTTCAGCTTCGATGGCAAACTCTATACCCATTATTTGCTTCTTCAATGGGAGCCTCGGCGTCGGATTGAATAGTATGCCGATGTATGAGGGAGGTTCTAGGAAAATGTTTATGCTATCCAAGTCATTAAATTTTGATGGAATGATGAATGAAATACACAGAGTTACGAAAATTAATAAAGCATGTTATGCAATTAAAGTGTTCTTCAATTGTCCGGTAAATGAGAGTAGAACTATTGCTGTGGCGATTACCGACGATGAGGAATTGAATGACATGAAACAATTAGTGGAGAAGCAAGTGTCAGTTGAGTTGTTCATTGAGAAGTATCCGATTCAAGAATTTGCCCAAGTTTCACGACCACAAGGAGAGTTTTCTCGGATGATGGACTTAGACAATGAGTCGAGTGGTTTTATGACATCTCCAAGTCAAGAGCCATGGTGTCAACTACAACATTTAAGTGGGCATTCTCTTGGTGGGACATCAAGTACTATATTTAACGACGCATCGGGCTATGTTACGGGTGATCTACCGGCCGGATCAATTGTAGAAGAAGAAGTAAATGATGACTCAGAAGATATTGAAGAAGAAGACGTGCAAATTGATAGCATGCATGTGGCAGTTGGAATCGATGATGATTCTCGTTGGATGGATCAATTTAATGTTAACAATGATTATGTGGAAGCTGAAGATCCGTTGCCCGACGAGTTTCATAATGAAGATTGGATAAATACTTCGCAAGCTGAATTTGTTGATGTTGGTCCAAACTTTCAACGGCCTGAAGACTTCACTTTTAAAAAAGGGGACCTATTCGAGAGCAAGGAAGCATTGATCTTTGCGGTGCGAGAATGGTCTATAAAAAATCGGGTCAAATTCAAGCCTGTAAAAACTAATGCAACCAACTACTATGTAAAATGTTATTTCAACGAGAAGAATGAAGTAAAGCATGCAAATGAGCAAGATGAGAGAAACAGGAAATGTCCTTGGTTGCTAAATGCCGCTGTGAGGAAATCAACAAATGGGCAATTTGTAATATCTAGATATTGCGGGCTTCATACATGTTGTAATCCGTCGGTGGACGTCGATCATTATTCTGCATCTTCCTCTTATATATGTAAGCTAATTATGCCTGAAGTTAGAGCTGAACTTGATCTAAATGCAAATCAGATATTTCCAAGGGTATATGATATGCGGGGCATTAAGATATCTAAATATAAGGCATATGATGCAAGGAGGAAAGCGTTGTCGAAAATATTTGGAGATTGGGAAAAATCTTATGAATTACTTCCATAGTATCTTAAAGCTATCAAGCGAGATAATCCGGGTACTGAATATGAAATATTGTCTGAAGAGATTGCACCGGGGATGGAGAGGTTCACTCGGGTATTTTGGGCATTTGGTCCGGCTATTAAGGGCTTCACTTTTTGTCGTCCGTTATTGAGCATTGACAGTACACATCTATATGGCAAGTACAAAGGCGTGCTTTTTGTGGCGACCGGTGTAGATGCAAATGGCGGTTTATTTCCTCTAGCATTTGCAGTTGTGGAGGTAGAGGATACTTCTAGTTGGAAGTGGTCCTTTGAACTTATATACAGGTTGATTTCTAGTGTCCGTGCGCCCAGATTAATTACTTTTATCTCAGATAGGATGAAAGGAATTATAAGGGCATTACATGAGGGTTTTGGTGCACCACATCACCATCGATATTGTTTGAGGCATATAAGAGATAATTTCAAGAAAAAACACGGTGAGATTAATTTGCAAAATCTTTTGTGGCAAGCTGGGTGTGCAACTGATACATTAGTGTATGAACATTGTAGAGAGAAGATCAAGTCTTTGTCATTAGATGCACATAATTGGATTGAACATAACTTGAAGCCTCAATTCGAGCATCGATGGGCATTATGTAAGGATGAGGGTGTGCGGTTTTGCATGATGACAACTAATTGCTCCGAGAGCTTTAACGGCGTTCTTAAAGGAGCACGAGCTATGCCAATACAATCATTGGTTGCAAGAACGTTCTATAGGCTAAACTCATACTTCAACAAAAGGCGTGAGGACGGTGTAGACTGGACAACGCGTTACACACCAAAGAATGAGTCTATTTTGCATAGAAGAATTGAGGCGGCAAGATTATGTCAAATTACTGTATTCAATGACAATGAATGGCAGGTACAGGATTATGACGGTATCTACACCGTTAAACTGTTTGATGTTGATTGCACTTGCACATGTAACATACCACAACTTCAAAAAATACCTTGTGCACATGTTCTTGCGGCTTCCTCCAATCAGCCGGGTGGTGCGAGAATTCCATATAATCGGTATTGTTCACCATGGTATTCAACAATTCATTACCGAAAGACATACAGTGAGAGTTTTCATCCACCCGATGATAGTCGGTATTGGCCCGAATATACTGGACCACGACTAATTCCACCTCAATACAAGAGACAAGCAGGTCGACCACGATCTGTACGAATTAGGGGAACCATGGATCAAGGACGAGAAGGAATTGTCAAGCATAAAAAATGTAGTCTTTGCAAACAACCGGGACATACTCGACCTCGTTGTCCAGCTAGACTCAATAGATAGCAATTAATTGGTAATAATTGACATATTCAAATTGTGATTTATTTTAATGTAGACAATATAATTAGTCGTGGATCGGTTATTGATATGTTATAATTGTATGTGTAGGTATATACACCATGGAGCCTGGACCGATTAGTGATGAGGTCCTATATGACCAGCCTCGACACCGTTCACATGTTATATCCTTTACAGAGGTAACTAAGTTTTTTATAATTTCAATATTGCATTCTTATAATATTATATTCTTATATATTCATTTTCTTTACAGAGAGGCCCGGATATTGTTATGGTTGATCATAGCCTCAGCCATAGCCGTTGGCATCTAGAGGATAAGCGCATAATAGCAGCTGTAGGACGGTCCGACTTCTTGACATGTTCAAAGCTTCGTTGGATGAGGCTCGATTGGCCCCTACTCACCGTTTTGATAGATAGGTGGAGGCCGGAGACCAACACTTTCCACTTCCGAATGGGAGAGTCTACTATTACGCTACAGGATGTAGCTATGATACTTGGTCTCCGCATAGATGGTCTGTGCGTTACCGGCAGTGATAGACATTTTTGGCCGGACAAGTGTGAGGAGTTGTTAGGTGTAGCTCCAGAGTCAATGCCTGGAGGAAATATTAAATTGAAGTGGCTAAAAGAGACCTTCTCGGTGCCGTTGCCTTTTGATACGCCGCTAATATTGATTGAGCAATATGCACGTGCATACATTATGCACATGATCGGTTCAATATTATTTCCAGATTCGAGTAAAGATAAAGTGCATGGCAGGTATCATTTTTATTAGTATTTACAATTATGTCTGTTGATTTAGCTTATTTTGATAACTTGAAATGTTGTGAAAATGCTAGGTGGTTACCACTTATCGGGGACTTGGACACGTGTGGTGCGTTATCGTGGGGTAGTGCGGTTTTGGCGTACCTATATAGAGAGATGTCTAAGGTTGCATTCATGAAAAATAGTGACCTCAAAGGGTGTCTCAGCTTACTGCAAGTATGGGCATGGGAGAGGCTGCATTTGAAGCCGAGACTATGCGTGAATTTACAATTAGACGGACAAATTCCACTAGGATGCAGGTATTATATTTTTTAACGTAGTAAATATAATTGTAGTTATTCATTTGGTACTGAATTTTGAAACTAACACAGATGGAATGTCCAAAAATGTTTTGACGAGACCCCGGCGAGACAGTTAGATTTCTACCGAAATGAGCTTGACCGCATGAAGATTTTTCAGGTATCATTTCTATAAAAACGAGTTTTTTCTTCTATATATCAACTTTCGTTTTAATGATATGCAACAATTATATGTAATACTCTGTAGATGGAATGGGAGCCCTACACCCCATTTCTCGATCATCTACCCCCGAGATTAGGGTTTAGACATGAATAATGTGATTTGAGATTAGGGTTTAACCATAATTAGGGTTTAGACATGAATAATGTGATTTGGGATTAGGGAATTTAGCAATTATTTGCTTTGTAGTTTAGATTAGAGTTTTAAATTTGACTTTAAGAGGATATGTGCCTCGGGGTATAGATGAGAGAGAATTAGTAAGTATTTTTAAATTTATTTTAAGTTTATTTTTATTAGAATTTTTCAATATTGCTAAATTATGTTTTTTTAAAAATTTGCAGGTATCAGCAATAGTTGATGTTCAAACCATTGCAAATAGTGGCTTGGAATTGGCTCATGCAGGTAATATAGAATTAAATATAAAATTTACATATTGTAATTTGAATTTTAAAGTAATTTTTGCATTTCGGATTTTTTTGAATTATCTCTCGCAGGTACATATCCCGAAGCACAGAAACATGCATCAATATATCAGTCGATAATGCAGAGGCTTCACCAAGCCTTACATCGAACTCATGAAGACCTTCATGATGGACGAGAAGTAGCGCAATTAGTATACACACGTCAACAACGACACAGACAAGGACGACGCAGAAACGACAATGAAGCTGAGCCTTCCCAACGTGTTGACGATGGAGCTGGACCGTCACAACCACAAACGCAACCGGATCATGAACTCATCGAAGGTCGGGATAGAGGAGGCCGAAGACAAAGGAGGAGGAGAAGAGTTCTTGGATGTATGTAAGCTAATCGGTATTGTTATATAAATTACAATCCTATTTTGATATGTACATTACAAACGTATTTCGGGACAATAGATGGTTTTTGGATTTGTAGCTGAGATTGTGGTGTGACTTATTAGATTTGTAAGTGGGTTTGTGGCGTGATTTGTTGGATTTGGATTCGTAAGTTTGTGGTGTATTTTATGATTTTTAGATTTGATATGTGTTTATACAGGGAATTGACATATGAGTTTGTACAGGGAATTGATATATGTGTTTATGCAATGGTGTAATTTATGATTGTTGCATTTGAAATATGAGTTTGTACAGGGAATTATCCCGTAGCAGAAATGCATGCATAGTTGTGAATGTGCAGGAAATGCACGGGACTGCTAGTCCCGTGCATTTCATTGCGCCCAGGAAGTGCACGGGACTAGCAGTCCCGTGCTCTTGTTTTTTTGCAGAGATAGAGTCTCTGCAAAATGCACGGGACTAGCAGTCCCGTGCACTTCATTTTTGTAGAGATGTTAGTCTCTGCAAAAAACACGGGACTGATAGTCCCGTGTTATTCGAAACTGCCACGAAATACACGGGACTAGCAGTCCCGTGTATGTCGTAAAAAATTTTCCGACTCTTTTCAGAAGAAAATGGTCGGTTTTGCTGAATAAATTTCGAAGAGGTCGATTTTGCTATTTAAATTTCGAAAATGGTTGATTTTGAAAATTTGTCCAAAATAATATCATTGAAAATGTCTCGTCGATACCTTCAAAATGAGACTGATATTGAAATATAAAATCTGTATATATATATATCAACATTCACCCAAAAAATTCCTAATTTACCCTTCAAACTAACTAACTACTTTTAGATATTCCACTTATGCCTATTTAATTATTAGTTTATAATTTTTATATATTTTTAAAATAAGTAAAAGAATTATTAAATTGAGAGAAATTGAAATGGAGTTGAAAATAGAGGAGTATGGTTGGAGTTACATAACTCTACTTTAGCATATTCTAAGGAATATGCCAAAATGGGGACTGCAAAATGCAGTGCCCTGTTGGAGTTGCTCTTACAGAGAAAGAGTGAGAGAGAGAGAGTGCTTAATCATATTTTAGCTTTTTATTGAAATGCTAATCGAAAAATTACCAGTATACCCTTCACGTTTCTATTGAGGTGGAAAATATCATTTAAACTTTTGGGTATCCCTACTATATTTTTAATATAATAGCCTGGATATATATATGAATATATATGGATGATTTGGTCGTATAGGTATTAAAAAAAGGGTTGATTTCCTATTAGTCCCTTACATCATTTATAATTGCGAAATAGTTCCTCAAATCTTATTATTTGCTTGTTAGTCCCTTAAATCTTCGGAGTTCTGCAACATAGTCCTTCTGTTAGAAAAATTGTTAACTTCTCCAACTCTAGTTGAGTTAATGCTTAACCTAATGACCCAAGTTATCTTATTACCCCTGGGGTATATATTACCGTTGTAAGTTTTGGGTTTAGAGGGAAGCTAGCCATGAAAATGACCTTGATTTTGAGTTTAGGGGGAAGCATGAGACCATTGATAAAGAAATAAGGTGGATTTAAGTTGGTATAGGTAGGGTTATAATGGGTATTTTACCTAATTCCATCACATTTAAAGGTCATTAATAACACCACCTAAGATTTAAGGGACTAATAAACAAATAATAAGATTTGAGGGACTATTTGAAAATTAAAAATAATTTAAGTGACCAATATGTAATTAACCCTTAAAAAAACTAGAAAAAGAAATATTTTTTAAAATAATAAACAAATAATAAGATTTGAGGGACTAATAAACAAATAATAAGATTTAAGGGACTAATAAATAAATAAGAAAACAGAAGATTTTAGGGACTAATAAACAAATAATAAGATTTTAGGGACTATTTGGAAATTAAAAATAATGTAAGTGACCAATGTGTAATTAACCCTTTAAAAAAACTAGAAAGAAGAAATATTATTTAAAGCGAGGCGAGAGAGGCATTTCCACTGAATACATTAGCCCTTTTATTTTTCCCCATCATCTTCTCCAGCCTCTTGCTTCCCCCCCAAATGGGTACAAGGAAGCGACACAAGCAAACCACCAAAAGAGAAAAAAGACCAAAATCAATTTAAAACACAGAGTGGGGGAAAAACCCAACTAAACAACCAAAACCTCATTCGGGAACTTGACAAAGTTCTCTAATGGTGGTTCTGGGATCTGGGTCTCTTCCATTGTCATCAAAATTGGTTGTTGGGTGTCGTATGGGCATGGGAGTAGGAGCTTCTCCTGCTGACCCGACCCGTACCCGCTTTGTTTCGTCGTCGCCGTCGCCGTCGTCGTCGTCTTCTTCTCCCTTCGGTTTGTCGCCAGGTTTCATTGCCATGCCTGCCAAGTGTTCGACAAATAGACCCCATTGATATTTGAACCTTTTCCGTTTGCATCTCTTCATTCCTTCTGCAGATTTTGCAATGTCAGCCTTCTCGTCTTCGATCCTTAGCCTTCCATCTCTCAGGTAATTTAAATTGGTTTTTTTCTTTCTTTCTTTCTGATATTGGGGTGTGACAGCTAAAATAGACAGTGTTTAGTTAAAAAGTTGAGCTAAATTAACAGATCATACTATGAGGGATTACTTATTTTGAATTTGTTTAGATTTGGTACCCAATATGAGGAGAACCCCATTAAGTTGTAGCCAAATAAAATAAAATAAAAAATCCTTCAGATGAAAATGGAGTGTGTTTTTTTTAAGCAGGTTCAGTAAAGGTGGGCGATGGAGGAGTGTGAATAAGAGGAAGAGGATGCGTACTGGGGGTCTTGTTTTGGCTGCTGCCCCTTCGAAGAGCAATCAGCCAGTGAATTGCTGTCCAAATTCCAATCTTGAGGTCTTTTATTATGCACAATCACTGCAATTTGCTTTTTTTTAAACGCCTAGTTAGTTTTTTATTTCTTGATAATTGTGTTACTTATGCAGATGATGAAGACTGCGAGGGAAAAGTTTATGCAGGAGATTTCATTTAGGTGCAAGGATAAGGATGTTTCTCTTGCCAAGGTATTAATTATACTTATGAATCATACAATCTCTTATTCATAGAGACTCTAGCTGGATTAAATTCTAAGAATATTGGTTCTTTTAGTTTAGCCTGTTGGGTTGTAATTTTATTTTATTTTTTCTGTGCAGTAGAAAATAAGTTTGCATATCTGATACCTGCTTTCTAAAAGGAGTATGAAATGAGAATATCTGTATAGTCTAAAGTAGCTGGTGATCATAGAATTAGTTTTGGTTGATTATTGGTCTAAGGAGGGGAGTTTGTTGGCATCAGTGGGCGGGGCAGGGGTGGCCCCCCCCCCCACCCCCCCCACCCCCCCAAAAAAACAAAAAAAACAAACAAACAAACAAAAAACACACATATTTTTGCAAACAACACTAGATGTAGGAATTTTTTCATATTAGTCCCTCAAAATTTTCATATTTGAAATTAGCCCCAAAGCTTTCATGTTTGAAATAATCCCCCAAACCTTTCATATTTCGATTATTCCTCAACTTTTCATACCATACAAGTTGTCCCCCAAATCCTTCAAGTTTTTAAAATTGCCATTTGTTATATTTATCATCCAAGTTGTTAACCACAGTGAGTGTTAGTTAATCAGAGACATATGATTATCAAATCAACTAAAATCAACATCAAAATCCACCAAAATTAAGCTCAAAATCAATAGTTCTAAGTCTAATATAATCTTTACCCAACTTGTACTCCGGTTAAGTTTTTCCGGGTTTGGATTTGAATGGATATGGGTATAACTGCTAATGCACCCAAAACTATTAAAGATGACAAAGTATTCTTTCAATTTCAATTAGCCACTAAGTAGAGGGACTAATTTTAAATCACTTAAAAGATTTAGGGTCCTAATTTGGAAAAATCCAATATATATGCACATCATTTTTTGATGTAGTTTTCTTTGCAATTCAAGTATAATTAGGAAGTAGGGTTTCAATTTCTATGTACTTTTGCATTTAAAAGTAGAAATTTGAAATAGAATTTATATTTTTATGTGGTTTCAAAATTTTGTGATGAATTGTGAAATGGGGTTCTTCCAACTTCACGAAGTTTTACAGTAAGAAATAGATATGTAAAATGAATTTTCTATGTTCATGTACTTCTACACTTATTTTATAAATGTGATAGTTAAGATTGTTTCATTTCTTCTGTTTAATGTTTGAAATAAGTTCAATAGTATAGTTTATATTGTATTGTCAATTTATCAAGTCTTCAAAAAGATTATAATTTATAGTTTGTGACTATGAAAAAACAACTACGATCAATACATTAAAAAAAAAACTTTAGAAGATTAAAGTATGTTGATTCAATAACGTGTACATATGTCGAAATGATTTAAGTATTCACAAAAATATTTCTGTTTTTGGTAAAGCTTTTACTTTAGGTTCTTGTTTACCTACTTACATGTATGAAAGTTAATTATACACTGTAATATTTGATTGCTTCTTGGTTGATGCATATTATAATAGTTGAATTTAGTCCCCGTAGAAAAAAATCCTGGCTCCGCCACCGGATGCCGGGCTATGACATGGTTGGGTCTCTACATGGAAAGGAAAAGCTTCCAACCAAGATAACCAAACAAGGCAACAGTGGTTTAATATAATACCTAATTTGATCATCATATTTGCTTTATCTTTGTTAACAAGTCAGCAGCTCAAGTTTACTATTAAATCTCACAATATGACATAGGATGCATGCACCTTTAACCATTGAATGACACCTTTAACGCCTTTTGTTGTATCTTATGCTCTTCTTACCTTATTTGCCCTTTTCTTTGTTCTGTGCTTTTGCTAGCAGTTTTGTAATAATGTTCTTCCCAGTTGAATTATGAATATGTACCTTTGCTACTACATTAATATTGTTATTATATAATGTACAGCAATAACAAAATTTTTATCCCGACATTTTAGGATTAGTTACACTATATTATATAATGTTAATCCTTATATGCGTTTAGACAATTAATCTTTGTGATTATTTGGTTTTTGTTGACATGAATTTACTTCAAATATTGTCAGCTTCAGTGTCCGTCTGGTGCCATCTGATAGTCTAACTTGATGCAACTTTCTTCTTGTTTCAATAAATCTCTCCCTCTTGTAAGAATTAAAGACAAATTTATAAGTTAGCAACGGCCACAACATAAAAAAAGGCGAACCTAGGATATGTAATATCCAACATTCACATTCTACTGATATTCATTATCTTTTGCATCCTTGTAAAGCTGAAACTGACAAGTCTAGACAGTATGTGCTCTCCTAAATCAATAATATTCTATCAATTCTTTCTTTTACAAGTTAAACTGTTCGGTCAATGTTTGTATTCTGTAGTTTTGTTGAACTCTTCAAAGACATGCATATCCTTGCGCATCTGAAATTAAGTGATTCATACTTGAAATACTAACATGAATAGAATTTTGATGGTACCTATCTCATAATAGTGATGTGATGTTACAAAGGAGGTTGTAATGGGTCAATTTGCACATTGCAATAATCATTAGCTTGTAATCCAACTAATTTCTCAGTATCTGGGTTTGCTTACCTGATACCTCATCATTGAGGTTTATAAAGCCTAAGTTTGTACATGTGCATGATTTTCGAGCTTTGCTAGTTATTTCTGTTTGTGCTGATGAACTTCATGCAATTGCAGGCTTTATTGCTTGTTGCTGCTGAAGATGAAGCTTTCATGGCTTACAATCGAGATATGGATGCACACTCTATTTTAAATGAAAGGAAAGATGCTTCCTTACCATTTGAATCTCCATCCGAATGCAACAGCATAGAAGAAATTTCTTTAGCTGGCAAGACTATTTTTGGTTGGTTAAATGAGTTGGAGGTAATAGCAAAGGAAGTGGAAGCAGAGTTAGTCTCAAGAGATATTGGTTGTCACTTGGTGGAAGTCTTAGAGGCCGTAAATGTTGTTCTTTTTGAATTGAGAGGATTCAAAAGATTTCATGTGCTTGTAGACTCAAGATGCTCATACTTGCACACTGTACTTAGCTCTGGACGTAGCAATGGTAAAGCTTTAAGCTTTTTTATATATCTCTCTATAATTATTTCACAATTACATAGAATTCTTTCGTTTTTATTAACTCTTGAGGTTTTCAGTATGTGGCCTTTTACTTATTCCATGCACAATTGATATGGATTCTGTTGACAGCAATTATGTTTAGCATCATTTATATCGAGGTATGCCGCAGACTTGGGGTTAGCATAGTAGGTTCTCGAGTTGGGGAAGATTTTCTTATTTGGCCTCAGACTGAGAACTTGGAGGTATGTGCTTTCGATGCCTTTTCTCTATGGAACATGCAGTTGTCTATGTACATCACAAAAAAAAAAAAAAAAGCATTTACAGTTTTCTTGATGTATCCATGGAATTTTTATAAGCTTATATAAAAATAATTTGTTGACATCTTATCACCTTTTTCATGTGTATCTCCGTTTCATTCTGTATCTATAACTGTTTATAATCATCGTTGACTAGTTTTTATTAGTGATGACATTAGTAATTAAGTTTTTTTATCATCTAATGGAATTTTTAATAGCTCTTCCTATGTACTAGGAACTTTTCAGGGCTTCTTCTGGAAGCAGCTGGTTGGCCAAAGTTAATGGCCGATGTGTTGAAGATCCTAAATCAAAGGCATCCGACCTGAATAGCAAAGCACTTTTAGGGCTCGACATTGTTACTAACAGAGATATTATAGGGATTGCACTGGCTAATTTGATTGTAAGTGAAAATACAGAATTACTGGCCTGCACCTGGCATTTGTAAATTTGGTGCCATTTGAATTTCTAGTTTTCTGTTATCTGCAACATGGAATCATCTTTTTCTCTCCCAGAGGCTTCACTGGAAACGTGCATCAAAGTCGAACCATGGGTTGATGTTAACATCTCCATTGAGGCCAATACACAATGAGGGTTCAAAAGTTCCTCTGCTTCGGCCCCAGGAATTGAGGTTTTTTCTACCTTACCAAACATTATTTATTCGACATTGTCTACTTTGTTGATGCCGATGAAGCTCATTTGATCATTTAGAATACACTCTTTGAATTGCCTTAGAGCCGGTAAAAAGTACATGAAGAGTAGATAGAAAGATTCTCCATTGCTATCACAAACACATCTTGATTCTTGACGCCCAAGATAACAACTCCCGCCACTTTGAGGTTCATGCCTGTATGTACTTACTGATTAATGGATATACGACTCTTCATCCTAATTCTACTTACCCACATAAAGAATAGAATACTAGGCTTTAAGGCGGCATTATGTCAAAAATGATTTGTTTACCATTGTAAGCTGATGTATGTATTACGTAGTGTAAGCAATTAACCTGAACATGAAGTCAAGTTAAAAGAGCTGCTGAAGAACACACAATACCGAACTTGTGAAAACCAGTGAAATTTGTAGAGAGTAGTCTCTGACGATGTTTTAAATATCGGCCAATAAACCGATATTATCGGTCATTTATCGGTTATGGGGGCCTTCCGCTATGATAAGTTCGATTCTAAATCGGTTATCGTTTTTGGATGTTTATCGCGGATAATGCGACGATAAGGTGAGTTATCGGCCGATATTATCGCCCAAAAATTGAAATTATCGGTCTTTGGTTTGAGTTTTGATTTCAGGCAACGGGCACCTATTCAATGCACTTTAAACCCGTCCCGACCCGACCCGAGTTTCTACTATTGATTAGTGATCCTAAACATAATTATTTACATTTTGGTATGTTTATATTTCATTAAGTATGGTTAAATTATATTTTAGAATATTATATTATGTATATCACCATCCGGTAATGTCACTCCGATAAATACTACTTATCCCCGATATATCCCCGATATCCGCTATCCGATATGGATTTTGACCATTCGATAAATCCCTGATAACCGATATTTAAAACCTTGGTCTCTGATTAGTGCCCTGTAGTCTCAGATGAGCAATAAACCTATTAATACCTTAAATCTAGAGAAATTTACAGAGAAGCCTCCCAATGTTTTAAAACTATCACTTTCATCCCCTCCTTTTGTTTTCCCCATCAAAGAAGGCCACATGGGTATCATGTGTCCAAAGAAAAAAATGCGCCTAACTTGAAAGAGTTTATCTGATATTGAAGTATTTTTGTCATGAAATGGATCACGTGATATGTTTCAAGGGAAATTCAAGAAGAGGGGGTGAAAGTGTTAGTTTTAACACTTCAGGGGATTTTTTGTGTCAATTCTACAAACCTTAGGACGATTTACCCTAGAATCAAACAATTATCCTTTTAGTTAATATTGTGTGGAAAACTAGATGATTGAGAAATTTGTATAGCTAATCCTTCTATTATTCCCTACATTGATAGGTTGGCTATTATGGCATCAGAGAGAATGCTGATTCTCCAGCCTCACAATTGGTGTCTGAGGCGAGACCACGGCATGCTTTTGTACTATAGCAGGTATTCTTCTTAAAACACTTCTCTTTGTACTTTATAAACACCAAGCACTTCCATAACAGAGCACTCATTGATTTTTTTTTTACAGGAAGTACGCTGAAGCTGTTCAAGAACTTAGCATCTGCATGGCATTTGCACCCGTGGAGGAGGCAGAGGTTCTGGAGCCGTTCGTTGAGAAACTTCATCTGCTGCGTGTCGAATCCTCGTGGAAATCTTTAGATCAAGCTGGGTCTCTAGCTGTTCCTTGAGGTTTTAGTTGTACATGGTTTAAAAGTTTTAAATTATCGAAGCCCGTAATGATGTCGTCTTATGAACATTTTAGATCTGATGTTCTTGTCTCAGTTTTAGCTGGTTGCACTTCTTAATGTAAAAATGAATATGCGAATCAAGCAGATTGGCCACATAAAAAGATGCTTTCTTTATTTGCAAATGAAAAGTTTTGCCAATTAAAAGATGCTTTTATTTTTATTTTTATTTTTTTTAAAGTAATCGTGACAAAGATGTCCGAGAGATTTATTAGCTAGAGAAAATAGATGCAGAATACTCATAAACAGCATGGATGAGAAGAGAGGGGTACAAAGAGAGGAGCTGAGAATAAAAGCTAGAAAGATGAAAATAGGACTAAATATAGATTTCCATATCAAGTTATCACATGCTATAAATAATTCCAAATGAAACATCGAAACGTAAACTACACATTTGAGAGAATAATTTCATTGTATAAGAAAATTCTGTTCTTTTGCAAGAAAGTTATACACGTCTATACAACTTATAATACAAAATGGGAAATATGAAAAACACGTAAATTTCAATTTGGTCAACGAAATAATATGTGCATCTCATATCTATCTATCTCAGGACCTAACGAATAAACCTCACGGCATTAGGTGCTGCCTCAAGTTCTTCGTTCTCTTTTTGTTCTTCAGTTTTCTGAATGCCTGCGACTCAATCTGCCTAATCCTCTCCCTGCTCACTCCAATCGACTCCCCTATCTCCTGCAGTGTTTTCATCCTCCCATCTCCAAGACCAAACCTCCATTTGATCACTTGCTTCTCTCTTGGACTCAAACTATCGAGAACTTTATACAGATCTCGCTTCACTATTTGCTTTATGAGTATTTCCTCTGATGTCAATGCTTCAGGGTCTGCTATTACTTCCTGTGATATAAATGGATGTAGAAACAACAATTATAAACAGAAGAAAGATGGGGTAGAAATTGAATAGGATTTTTCTGGTTTATGGACAAACCGAAGGCTTTAGACTCTGATTGATACCGATCTTTTGGTCTAAAGATCTTGGAGCTTTAGGGGTCAGCATTACAGCGGTGAACCTTTTCATTGTTAATCCAGCGGCTTCTGCAATTTCTTCATTATCTGGGTACCTTCCATTTTCGCTGTAAAGTTGTTTTCTTGCCTCCCGAACTCGATACGTTGCCTCGACCATGTGAAACTATATTTGGTGAAGGACACGGGAAAAAATAGTATTAGGCAAGAAGTCAGATATAGTCCTGATTCAAATGACGTTCTGGAGGGGAAAATACTTTTAATTGACTAAATAGAGACTAAATAATACTAATGAAGGTTTATATTGAAGATTTAAACAGTTGAGATGATTAAACTAGAAGATTTTATTAGACTAACCCTTATAGGAAAGTGGTATGGGTGAATAAACATCATTCATAATGGAAAATTCAGGAAAACATTTAGCAGTTTCTACTGTATTTGATTTTGTCGTGTGTTCAATCAGTTATTTATGACATCCCAAGATAGCTGCAAACTATTTAGATCCTGTAAAGAATTGCAACCATTAAGCATTAATACAGTCTATCTATCATTCTACTGATTATTTAATCTCTCAACAAGTCAATATTTTCTCTTTCAAATTTAGGAAATCAAGGGAATGTGGTTGATTGAACATGAACAGATATGATATAACTGGATTCAAGAAAAAGACCCTGCCATACAAACAACATATAACCTAGAGCTGAAGATGCTAGTGTTCGAGAACATGAAATACTGCATATCAACAAATAGAATAGATACTAACACGCCACCAGGAATCACTGAGCATATAGAACCAAATGCGATAGCATTTCAGACAATTCCTATTCAAGGTGAAAATATCCAACCTCCCAGAAATTGTAGAAAAATTTTACACCAATGTGTAGGCTATTTATCAATATATCCTACTTCTTTTCGAACCAAACCATGAACTTTCAAATAATTATTGAGGTTATCTATCAAACAATCGATTGATCTAAACTGCGCGGACATTTAGCTGAAAACTTACTGAAGGAATCCTTCATGAAACAATCTTAAATTTCAGCACAATTTAGTAATATCACATAATACTTTCAGAAATGGGAATCTCACTGGTAGGCGAATAGTTCTAGATTGATCTGAAAGGGATCTACGAACTGCTTGCTTTATCCACCAATGAGCATAAGTTGAGAACTTAAACCCCTTTGAAGCGTCGAACTTTTCAGCACCCTTTACCAGACCCCTACACCCTTCCTGCATACAATTTTCATCATCAGGCTTGAGCTGGAAATACGCAATAAAATTATGATTTCATTTGTCAAGCACTAAATTGAAGTACCTGTACAAGATCCTGCAGGTTCATTCCTGCACCCTGAAAGTTTTTGGCAATAGAAATAACAAGGCGTATGTTGCTCTTGATCATCTTATCTTTACAATATTTTCCATAGTTTAAGCGCTTCCTCAGAGTTCTTGAATCAACTCCGGCAGCTGTTGCCCACTGAGCAAAGGTTGGGGGGCTACCATTTCTTTCTGAAAGCTCCTCTTGGAGTCTTTCTAGCTTTATTAGTTCCTATAAAGAATTCGAAAGAAATGGTAACAAATTAGGAACAACCACGGTAAATTAAGCAAGTCAGAATAAAATGGTTTTTTAAGAATATAAGATAAAATATAATTATCGTCTGCTTACAGTAATATTCCAATAAGCAACTAATGTCTGTTAAATATGATCGAAATTGAAATATTTGTTTGTTTATAAATATGTTCTTATAGTTGCTTTGTCCTTCTTTTAGCAATATCAATTAACCGAAAAAAAGAATTGTGACTGTTGTCCATAAGCCAACAAAACCATTGTGGACTTTCATTCATTTTGCTGACCAAATGAAACTGCAATCACCTCGAAGGTATTTATATAAAAAGAGCAATCACCTCGAAGGTATTTATATAAAAAGAATGACACTGTAACACTGTAGAAAACCTGAATCGACTAAGGATTAGATTGACTTTAAAATTTCAGTTGATTTAGGACTTTATCTTCTTTTAAGTTGCAGATAGATCCCCAGTAGTATCATTGTTTTAAACAAATTACAGGGTAATTTTATTTTTAAATGTGGATAAGTCAAGTCCCCCAAGCAAATTTTTTGTTACTCTTTTACACTCAGTAGGTTTATTTTATAAAAGAAAAATTCTCTTTCTCAGAGAATAAAAGAGTCTAAAATTTCGCTCAGGCAATCTATCTGCAAAACTTAAACTAGAGGGGTAGTCAGTTCAAAATAGTGATAGTACAGGGGTTCTATCTGCAATACACTCTAATTGTATTAATAGCTGTCCTCAGGTTAAATTTTACCGGTTTACGGTTGAAAATCAGCGTCAAATCAAATCTAGATTATACAAAGTACAAACCAAGAAATTTACTCAACTTTCTATTTTTTAATATCTTAAGCTTTGAAGTACTTGTAGTTGCCCTCAGATACCTCAAAGGATCTGAGTAATCAATCTCTTGCACAGTGGAGCGTTTTTTCTTGCTAGATGATCCAGACTTCACCAAGATAACACTACTAGCGGCCTTCACTGCTGCCTTGGCTCGTCTAGCTCTTCTCTCTATTTGTCTCCTCGATCTCACAGCTATACATTTAGAACCAAGAACTTGTTGTAAATCAACATCATTTTGAGTACCGTTGTCTTCTTCAAGTTCAATTTCGGGTGTAGAAGAATTATTCTCTGTTCCAAGAGATTCTAGTTCTTCTTGTCTCACCCTCTCTAATAGAATTTGGTCATGTTCAGGTTGAGTATTTTCTGATCTGCTGATGGATGGTTCTTTTCCTTTCATGAGAGCTGCATCCTTGGCAACTTCGAGTGCAGCTCTAGCAAGAGCAATTGCCTCTGCTGCTGCTGCTTCTATAGTGGCTTCTTCACTTGTTAGAAGTTCTTCGGTAGCCAAGGTTGCTTCAAAATCTGCCTGGACAATTGGAAAAGGAGAATAAATAAACAAAAGATCTGCAAACGCTCCTGATCTACGTAAATTCAATTTGAACAATTGCAGTAGGATGGCATTACAACATTTTCCACACGGAAGTTCCATTTGCACTGAAGAAGCGGATGATTGAAACATCATCCCTGTTCCATCTCCAGCATGGACTGATATTTTATAACTTCTGAACGCAAGATGATTTTAAGAACAAATGGTGTCTGCAACATTACCTAATTGAATTCACAACTAATAGGATATGATGCGCGGTAGTTTTCGGTTTCAAATTTAGAATGTCATGCTGTCAACAACATATATCACAAAGTACAGATTCAAACATTTTACATAATATCTACTTTACCTTGAAAGGCAAGCCAACGGCTCCCACATATCTTGATGCCCTGCCAGCAGCTAAAGAGTTTGAATATGATTCCACTGTCGGAATTTGCGTCTTCTCAAAATCAATGACCGCGGTCATCTGAGACGAACTGCACTCTATGCGAAAACTGAACAAGCCTCTAGCTTTCGCTGCACAACAAGGAAGGAAGCCCATCATCTAGAAATTCAACTAGAATCAAATGTATGCAAAAAAAAAAAAAAAATTCACCAATAACAATGTTAGAAAACCATCATGATGAAAACCCAGAAGGGGAAAAAAGAATTTTTTATTCGCAACTAATCTTTCTCAGGCATTCTAGCAGCAGCCTTATAGACAACTGGGATATTATAAATGCATTTTCTTAAACAATCTACAAATGGGTACCCCAAACAAACAATTAAACAAACATGTACGGTGCAAATTAGAAATGGGTGTTCGTCAACAGGCATCAAACCTTGAGGGGTTTGATGGAGAGATGGGCAGTTGAATGGAGGAACCAAGCTGGCCATCTTCTTCGCATTAAAATTCCCAGCAAAAAATCAACGAGGGTGTTTGATGTTGCTCTGCTCTCTTTTTTTCCCCCCCCACCTCCTCCTCCTCTATGATGCCGTTGTTGCTGTAGTGGCTACGTGTTGTTCATCTAGTTCACAGGAGGAGAGGGGAGGGGATAAGGAGATATATATTGAATTTTTTTTAAAAGCCCTAGTTTTTTTTTGTGTTTTTTTTGTTTTTGGACCGTTTGGTTTCCTCAGACCCGGTTCGCTCCTACTATATACCTTATAGTTTCCCTCATCTATGTGAATTTTGCTTCAGTTTTCTCATCTGGCACTCACACGCTAATTTTAAAACTTTTATTATATTTATTGAATTTACTATTAGATCTACCACAATTCTATTGTAGAATATAATTAGTATAGGTTTATAATAGAGTTACGACGTGTTTAATAGTAAATTCAACAAATTGCTAATGCTTTGGTTTAGTAGGGGGATCGACGAGAGATGGGAACAAGGAGTAGAGTGCTATGAAGTTGAAGGAAGGGCGACCCTAAGCTTCTTATTTGATTGTCAAAAAACAAATAAGAGTGTTATAGGAAGCCTATTTCCTATAACACATTCCTTTTTCTTGTTTGCTTCCAGTACCCTCCCATTGATTAATGTGACATATAATTAAGGAAGGGAAAATCATTTAAGGACCCAAAATATAGGACCAATGGAGGGGACATGTGAGGTGTCCCCTCCCTATTGCATAATAAGTTGGCATGACCAACTCATTATGCAATAGGGAGAGGACACCTCACCTGTCCCCTCCCTTGGTCCCATATTTTGGGTCCCCGTAGCAGCACTCTTAAGGAAGTATATTTCATAGTTTTTTTGTATGGGAATGAGAGGAAACTCTCTTAGATGGTTTCCTCTCCTCTATTTCCTTTTTTTTTTTTAGATTTTCAAGAAACCAACCAGACAAGCCGAAAGTTAAGGAAGTTACCTGACTTTTCCTTGTTTTTATGAGGATAGAAAAGAAAGGTGAGGTGTTGACTGTTGAGTTAGTTGAAACGCAATAGTACCTTTTTTTCCCGTCCAGAAATGTGTTTCGAATAACGCCCGAACTTTGGAAGGTATTGCACAAAACCCCTTTAAACTTTACATATTTCACATAGCCCCCCGAACTATTGGGTGCCTCACAAAACCCCCTTGGGCTTTTCCTTATGTAACCTAACCGCCCTATTTGAGATTCGGTAAAATGTCATTTGAGTAAAAAAAATTCAAACTTTGTCACTTATCATTTACACGCAATGTACCACTTCCCTTAGTTTTTTCTCTCAAGAATATTTACGAATTACATGCAGGGAGTCCAATGAGAAAAGCCTGAAGTTTGGGGCGAGGGTTGCGAGACGCCTCAAAGATCGGGGGGTTATGTGAGATAATCAGAGTTCAGGGGTTACGTGCAATACTCCGGGATGTTTTGTGAAATTTACTCCTCTATACTTATATATCTATTCCTTTATACAAAAGGGAGAATAAAAGAACCACTATTCATGCTACAGTAAATAATACAGTGAATTTACTGTAGTGGTAAAACTGTGGCTAACTACCAATCCCCAGCTATTGCACTGTAGCTAACAGCCTATCCCCAGCTTACAAAATTAATCAAACCAAGCTCATGTTCACCCATATATTTTTTTCAAAATTCCCCAGTTGACAAAATTCTCCAACTTACAAAATTAATGAAAGCAAGCCCATGAATTAATGACACCAAGCACATGTTCAAGCAACATCACCCAAATTTTACAACTTCAAAATCTATCAAACTTGAGCAGCAATCTCTCAATATTCTCCAGCTTACAAAATTAATCAAACCAAGCTCATGTTCACCCATATTTTTTTTTCAAAATTCCCCAGTTGACAAAATTCTCCAACTTACAAAATTAATGAAAGCAAGCCCCTGAATTAATGACACCAAGCTCATGTTCACGCAACATCACCCAAATTTTACAACTTGCAAAATCAATCCAACTTGGCAGCAATCTCTCAATATTCTTCAGCTTGCAAAATTAATCAAACCAAGCTCATGTTCACCCATATATTTTTTGTGGGCCCCACATATTCAATCAAACTTGAGTTGCCACGTCATTTTGTGGGCCCCACATATTCTGCTTACAAAATTACCCTGCTCACACCTCAAATACATTAACATGGATAAACCAAAAAAAGAAAAAAGAGGAGGGAGCGACAATATGTGAAAAAAAGTTAATCAAAGTTGATAAATACCTCTTCAAAACCTGGAGTTGCTACAGGTTTTTGAGGGTCCCACATATTCCTTTGTGTGCATCAAACTTGAGCGGCAATCTGGGAAAATTCTCCAGCTTACAAAAATTTTGAAAAAACCACCAAAATTTTGAATGCAAACTCTCTTCAAACAAGCTGTGAAAAAAGCGGCAATCTGAAAAAAAAGAGCCAAAACTGAAATTATAATTTATAATAAGTTGTCATGCCATAAAAGAGAAACAAGGAAATATATATATATACACTCTAAAATCTTTTCTTATTCCAACAATCTCAAAATAACCTCTTGCTTTGGGTGAGTTTTTTTACCCTTTCTCAATTTTCTTCAACATGTTCTTCAAATAGCAAGTTTTATGTGATCTTAGGTCACTATTATTTGATTATTTTTTGATTAAGTCAGTATTTCCCACATTTATGATTTATGACTCATTTCTGCCTATATACATCACATTTTTCATATCAAACTCACTTTTTAAAGCATTTATGATGACCCACTTCATCACAACATTAATTCATCATATTTATTTCATATTTCTTACCATTTACCCAAATAAAGATCATACATTAGTTTAACTAGCTTCTCAAGCAATGTATATTTTCCTCTTAGTTGCATGCTTAAATTTTATTTCAAGTACAGGACCTAAATTATGCTTTTTTGTTTCAATTATAGAAGTGGAAAACGCTTCTGGAATCAACTCTGAAGTCATACTGTAAGTATACTATGCTCCTTTCAGTATATTTGTCTTTACATTATTGGAGATCTTTGTTCCTTAATTCATGTATATATATTTCTAGCATATTAACTTATTGAATATTAATTTGACTCTGATATAACATGTACACAATTTATAGAGTATCATGATTCAAAGTAAGTTAGTTATAAACTGAAAATATTTTCAGTTTTCTATATCTTATTATTTCTATTTGTGGTATCAATCCACCAATTTAACACAACTTTTTGAGCATATGTGGAATGTATACTGCACATCTTTTGGAGCATAAATGGAGAATATAAGTATATATATGCAAGTGAACAAGGTAACTTACCACACATCTTTCTGAGCATATATGGAATGTATGCTACCATTTACCAGAAAATCTCTTTCGGAGAATATTTCAATTCGTACTTTCGGAGAAATCTCTTTCAGAGCATATATGGAGAATATAAGTAGCAGCTCAATGGATGTTAGTTCTTTCATATCACCTTCATCTCCGAAGCTCATTGACAGAATAACAGGTAACAGTCTTTATATAAACATATGCCCAATTTAATAGTTAATAGAAATCTACTGCAATAACCTTAAATTATTGAAATTATTACCTACAGAGTTGAATTCGTTGGAATCACAGATCATTGACTTCACCAATCAAAGTGAGAAAGTACTCCCTCTTTGTTGACGCACTACGACTTTGACAAACTTCTATTCCTTAACACTAACTACCCATCATCTGTTTTCAGCTCTTCGATCCTATAATAACAAAGAGAGACGAGTTAAGAGGAAAGTTATTCATAGAGATAATGGCACCTGTAGCACTACTTCCTTTGAGGATACATCCCCGGTTATTATCAAGCGTACAAGGATGGAACAAATATCATATGATTCATCATTCGACGATTCTCACGTGCAAATGGAAGATAATGTACAACCTGTTACAAACAATAACCAATCTAATTCGGTTATTCTTAGCAACAAAGGAAGGAGAAAAGGCAAACAAATAAATGAGAAAGGTATAACTTCCTTACATTATTTTCATGTCAAATAATTGTACCTGTTTCCTTGCCTCATATGTTGTTGACATTGATATTGTCATTTGTTGTATAACATTGCTATTTGTTGTGTACTTCTAGGTCTGTACAATGATATACACAATGTGGGATCACCAACTTTTATTTGCGAACATTGTGATGCGATGCTTTGGTATGAAGAAAGAGCTGAGAAATCAAAGAGACCTGAAAATCCAGCTTTCTCATTATGCTGTCGAAAAGGCTCTGTCAAATTTCCTCTCCTCACGCATCCTCCCACCTTTCTCTGGAATCTGTTAACCGGTCAGGATAGCAGAAGCAATAAATTTAAAGAAAATATCAGAAGTTATAACTCAATCTTTGCATTTACTTCCTCAGGCGGGACAATTGACAATACATACAATAATGGAGGTGGGCCTTATTGTTTCCGTCTAAATGGACAAAACCATCACAGAATTGGTTCTTTGAGACCAGTCCCTGGAAAACGCTTCATTTGGTTTGCAGCAGCGTCAGACTGAGGCACATACATTACTCTTATCGGGGAAACTATTACAAACTTACATTGTGGATCTCATGACCTGCATTGAGGAGGAAAGACTTCATTGGGTTAAAGTTAATCAGTCAAAGATCCGTGCGGAGTTATACTGTGGTATCAAGGATGCACTACATAGAGGAGATACTGAAGGTGCACAAGTAGGTAAGAGAATTGTTCTACCTTCATCTTTCACTGGCGGACCACGTTATATGACCCAAAATTACCAAGATACAATAGCTCTTTGTCGTGTTATGGGAAACCCTGATCTTTTCATCACGGTAACATCAAATCCAAAGTGGAATGAAATTCTTGAATTTCTCAGAAATAATGGCGGACAAAGACCCGATGAAAGACCAGATATCGTCGCAAGAGTGTTCAAGATCAAACTAGATTCATTGATGGAGGATCTTCAAAAGAATAATCATTTTGGAAAGTGTATAGCAGGTATGATTTAATTTATCATATTTACATCTCTGAGCATTCATATATAGATGTAATCACTTTTTTCAGTGATCATCCAATAGTTTAATGAGCTTCTCAAACAAAGTGTACTTTCCTCTTGGTTACATGCTTAAATTTACTTTTAAGTACCAGAGGTAAAGCTTACACCATTTGTAAGTAATAATTTTTATAATATGAGAAAAAAGAATTCATTTGTAACGTTTGAAGTTTTAATGAAATCAATGATGAAGGCAACTTTTGACGAAAACAATCTTCACTTTTTGGTTTATGAAATAAATTCTTCGACTAAAAAAAGGCAAGTCAGGTACCTGATCATGAACCAATTTTATTAATCATTTTGGAAAGTGTATAGCAAGCCCAATTTAATTTATCATATTTACATCTCCAATCATTCAGATATAGATGTAATCATATTTTAATGAAATAAATCCACCAGAATATCACTGTAATAAAAGCATATAAGCTCCTAGACACATGTTTAAATTTTTTGGAAGATAAAGATGCACAAAAAATATATAACAGGTCACACACAATGTATATGGATAAGTAACAAAACGCCAAGCGATTCTGGTATGATTTAATTAGTCTAATAGAAGAAAGTATTACTAATTATGATAGCAAGCAAAGTGAATATTGAATGTTCTTATCCACAATCCAAAATTGTGATCATGATGCTGTACAAGTATATTGTTGATACGAAAGGAATCAATTCAATGGCAGATGGGGCTGTAAAGGGATCAGATTCAGTTCAGATCTATGCAAGACTTGAATATGAATCCGTGTAAAACGAATATCTTAGCCGAATCCGATCCTAACCTGGCTCATTCTGGCTCAGTTTGGCTCAATCTGGCTCAACCTGGTCCAATCTGGCTAGGTCTGGTTCAGTCTGGTCTGGTCTGGTTCAGCCAGATCTGGTTCAAGGCTATAAAAGAGGTTCCTTTTTTTTTTTCTTTTTCTTTTTCTTCCTCTCTTTCTAGGGCCGGCCACCCCCTCCCTCTCTTCTCTTGATTTCTCTTCCCTCGAGCATCCATTCTCTTTCAAACCTTGATATTTGTCTTAGATCTGGCTTTCCTTTGAATCTTGGACTGAGGAATCTCCCAAAATCTCCAAATAAAAAGTTTCTCTCAGGCCCCTCGAGCGTGTGGTTCAAGTTTCCTTAAAGGTCTCGCCTTTATTGGATTTTGGGCTTTTCTTCAGGTAAATCCTCCGCAATCTTGATCTATTTCATGTTTGATCTAGTGTATGGAGTCGCGGGATCGCATATAAGGGTTGAGGGTGTGATTTGATGCCTCAAACTTGCCTTTTTTGGGGGTAAAAATGGGATTTTTCCTTTTCTAGATCTGATCCTTCAATTTACCTTGCAGGTTTCTATGTCCCGTATGGCGAGGGGTCAATCCTCTACCGCGCCGAATGATGGCGCGCCTCCCTCTTACGCTGGTGAGCTACTTTTTCTGGAAATTTACAAATTGGTCCATTTTTTCTTGGAAATTTGCAAATTGGTCCTTTTAACCCCACGTTGTTCTCCTTGGTGAGGCAATCGGGAAGAGCCTTGATTCTCCTTGGTGAGGATCGACGCTTTGAAGATAGAAATTTTACAAATTAACCCTCTTTTTTCTGAAAATTTGCAAATTGGTCCTTTTAACCCCACGTTGTTCTCCTTGGTGAGGCAATCGGGAAGAGCCTTGATTCTCCTTGGTGAGGATCGACGCTTCAAAGATATGTTTTGCTTGGTCAAAACACTATCTCATAATAAATAAAGGGGGCGTTTTGTCGCTGCGTTGTGCCTTATAAGGCAGGGATATATTGTCGATATACCCTATCTTATGAAGGCGCAACGTGGCCAAAACGTCACACCCTTTATAAGGCAATGACTCTATCTTACCCCTTCGTAAGATGAGTTCAATTTCCTTTTATAACTGGAATTAACAAACGTTTAATTGCTTGTTCTCAGTTGAATACCCTTCTGGAGCGTTCTCATCTCACGCAGTATACGGGCGTCGTGGCGAGTATTATTCGACCTCCGACGATGTTTCCCCTATCCCGGTCACTCCTCAGTTCGTCTTGGGCACATCGACTGAGGTTGCTCAGGCGGTGAAGGAAGGTGGGCACCGAGCTCTTCGACAGTTGATTACCGATGCACCTCTTGTGAAGGACGCCAGTTCTATTCAGCCTCTTCGGAAGAGTGATTTCTTATTTGGCGACTCTGTCGAAGACCCGGATGCCGTGTTTATTGAGGCTGAGCAGTGGCTTCATAAAACTGGCAGTGGCTTCATATACTTGCCGAAGATTCCTCGGCATCGTTCATTGACTGAGCTCAGGCGTCAGGCCGTGACACGGGAGATGTCGTGGCGCTTGACGGAGGAGCATGAGAGCGTCCATTGCGGCTACATCACTCATCAGGCGTTTCCTGGCTCGAGCAGAAGTCACATCACCGGATTGCGTCCCGGAGTACTGGGGCTGGATGCACCACCACGTAACGAGTTCCTCGCCACCGCTTCTACCTTGAGGAATCGCCTCGCTGCTCTAGGACGGGAGATGCCTGCGACGCGTCACAGGATTTATGGTTGGGTCCATTCTTTGGACAAGTTTTGGTGGACCCGTATGACGACGTATGTCTTGAGCCGATGGGGCGAGGAGTTGCACGCTTGTGGTTTATATGCAGCCGTTCGTGCCACCATGTATGGCTTGCCTGTCAGCGCAAGGCATTTCTGTGCTTTGTTCGAGCTTTATAATTCAGATTCGAACACTTTTCTGACCCGGCAAGGGGAATTGGGCTTGGCTCTTCACGAGATGCACAGGATTTCTGGCTTACCCATGGGACAGATGTTGTATCAGGAATACTTTCCCTCCAACCATGAATTAAGTCTGCTGAAGGATCGTATGCCCGATCGCTACGAGACTCTATGGGATCTCACTTGTCACTATCATATAGCTTTGGCGCAGTCTGAGCCTTTAGCAAAGAGGACTAAGACATTCGTGAGTCTGAAGCAGTTTGCCAATTATTTGTTCAAGAATCTGGAGAGTAATTCTGGCGAGGCTATTTGTGAGTTGGCCCCACTTACTCCCTCAGGGGTGAACATTCTGATGAAGAAGATTGACGCTCATTCTTATACCACTAGCAGTTCTGAGGGTGGTTTTCCTGCAGGGACCAAGTTCAAATCATTCTTGTGGCATGCTACCGCACCGATTCGACCCATGACCCTTCTTGCCGGTTTCCTCGCTATTTGGTTAAAGAAATGCGTGGTCTCATATCAGTCTTGTGACGCTCTGCCCTTGGAAGTACTCTATCCAGCAGTTCAGCTTGCCTACAAGAAAGAACTCTCACTTCTTCCGGTGATGGTGGCTAACATTCACCGAGGACTTCGACAGCTTTCTGGTGCCTTTACACGGAAGGAAAAGGAATCGCCGACTCAGATTCCCACCCTTAAGACAGAGCTCCCGTACACTTACTTGATGGCTTGGTTTGTCCTTCACCGTCCCGATATGATGTCGGTACCGAGCGCCACAGATCATTCCGTTCCTTTACTACAATTGCTTGAGAACGGCAAGTGGGAGGGGCGCGGATTTTCTGACGTCAGGCAGCAGCTGCAGGTCCATAAGTGTTGGACATTTTCCACTTGCTTTCCGCAGTTCTCCGGCCGATACGACGATAGTTTGACAGATGAGGAGAGGCCGAGAGAGTATCGAACTCACTTGGACATCGGGTGTTTTAACTGGCTGGTAAACATTAGGCCAGGTTATTTGACTTTTCGGGTGAGGGATCAGTGCTTCATAGAGCCATATCTACCCTGTCGATTCGCTCGTCAGTTTGGCTACGATCAGCTTTACATCGGGAATCCTCGTCAGCAGCTTCGGACCCACGGTGGTTTGATAGATGGTCTCCGTGCGTGGTTGTGGACCGTGACTGGCTGTACTGGTGCTAAATTCAGTCTCCCGAGTGCTGATCGGCAGTTGAACCTCACCTTCTTAAGCTGCAAGTGGTTGTTAGCAGCCAACAGGGTTCATCTCTACCAACAAACAAGAGATTAGGAGATAGAATATAAAATTCTTCCTCTCCGATTTTGGGTTTATCTCTACCAACAAACAAGAGACCAGGAGATAGAATATAAAATTCTTCCTCTCCGATTCCGGGTTCATCTCTACCAACAAACAAGAGACTAGGAGATAGAATATAAAATTCTTCATCTTCGATGCTGGGTTCATCTCTACCAACAAACAAGAGACCAGGAGATAGAATATAAAATTCTTCCTCTCCATCATCGGGTTCATCTCTACCAACAAAAAAGAGACCATATTACTCCAATGGGTACACGAGTCTAAACTGTATTCCTCCCCTTAATAGGAAGTTTCTGGAGAATATTACTCAAAATATTCTTAAGAATAACCTGGCTACCTCCCAACGGGTATATGAGGTTAAACTATTTCCCGAATACTCCAATAGGTACACGAGTCTAAACTGTTTCCTTACCCTCAACAGGAAGTTTTTGGAGAATATCACTTAAAATATTCTTAAGAATAACCTGGCTACCTCCCAACGGGTATATGAGGTTAAACAATTTCCCGAATACTCCAATAGGTACACGAGTCTAAACTGTTTCCTTACCCTCAACAGGAAGTTTTTTGGAGAATATCACTTAAAATATTCTTAAGAATAACCTGGCTACCTCCCAATGGGTATACGAGGTTAAACCATTTCCTGAGAACTCCAAAAATACATGAGTATAAACTGTGTTCCTATGAAGACTGATACGATGATTAACAATGCGGTATCAATTTGATGATAAAAGCTGAATTCACAAGTACAAACTCCAGCTTCAATTCAAGATCTCGACAACGGTCAAGCGATGAACGCCATGCCGAAAGAATCTTAGCTATTCTACAAAGCACCGAATAGACTGAGAGACAAAGAGATCAAGTGTTGAAGCCATCATAAGTAAGACCTATCTTATCCAAAGCATCCCAGAACTCCTCTATAAAAGATTGAGTCTGGAATACTTTGGAGGGGGTATTTGTAGGCGTCAAAAAATGCTGAGAGATATCCGAATACAGCTCAAAAAGGCATAAGAATACAAGTATGGGCTGTCTCGCACGCGAGACAGACTTGACTGTCTCGCCGTGCGAGACAGTCTTTACTGTCTCGCTGGCGAGACAGACTTTTACTGTCTCGCCCGCGGGAGACAGTCTTTACTGTCTCGCCCACGCGAGACAGTCTTTACTGTCTCGCCGTGCGAGATAGAATTTACTGTCTCGCGCGTGAGACAGCTTTCAGATGGTCAAAACCGCCTTTGTAACTTCCCTACACGTGGCCACTAACTGTTCAAGAACGTGGGAAACGTCGTGGGCGAGAATCACGTGGATAACTGCCAAAATAACGGAGTTTGAAACGTGGGAAGGCAGTTAAAACGAAAACTACCTGACGGTTACTATTTCCGAGACAACATTTACTGTCTCGCGGGCCGAGACAGCAAACACTGTCTCACCCGCCGAGACAGTAAACACTGTCTCGCGGCCTTAACTTGTTGTTTTGTCGTGTTTTTTTAGTTCCAGACCCCTGAGGCTATAAATACCCCCCTAGGGTCACTTCTGACGAGGATCGAATAATATATATATATATATATATTTATTTTAACATTAGTTCATTTTGGTTGAACAATAATACATATGCAGTCATACTAATAATTTGATATTCAACTTTATAGGTCACTGACTGTCAAGGGAATATCAAACATACTGAAATGTCAAGGAACTAGATTGGCGTTATGTTGCATGTCGAGATTGTGCAAAGTAAAAAAAATTACCCATCAACTTCAGAAAAAGTATGGTGCAAATCATGTAATATGGAAGTAGTGGCTCAAATCAAGTACACATTCATATGCATCTTTCATAGTCATAATTACAAAGCACGTGTAATATTATTTTCAATCTTTACCAAGTATATAATTACATAAATCAGGTGCAAAGCTATAAAGGGAAATATTGTTCAACGGTTACTATGTTACTACTCTTCAACGAAGAAGTTGATAATCTGAACACTGCTTTGATAGACAAAAATCACTAAAAAGATAGTTAAAAATTATGAACTAAAAAGGTATCTAATAAGAGTATTTACAAGGTTTATGCAAATGGAACATAGCTTTTCTCTGATTTTATCCTCGGTATAAATATTGGAAAGAAAGTTAAACTTCAAGTAGCATCGATAAAATATAGTTATGCGAAGGGTAATGAGGGATTTACAATCTCCATAATCATTGACATATTTCACGACAATAAGTAAAATAAATACAATGACACAAGCTAGGAAATTATTATATTTTCAAAGTATTTTAGAATTATTAATAAATATTAACAACTCCAACGATTTGATTACTTATTTGGCTATATGTTCAGTATTGATGAAGCAAGAGTTCAAAAATTACTACAAAGGTCAGAAGGTTACACAATACATTAAAGAACTTTTTTGTGAAACATAACATTTGAATTAATAAATTATGAACCATCTATACTACTGATAATAAATTTTTCATCATACATGTACGAATACTCACAGTGAGAACAACTTATGAGGGCTTCGGAAGAAACAATTTATGATGTTGTATATTTCGAAGCTCTACGAACTTCACAAGTAATACAAATCTATCAATTTATTCAAATTATAAAGATATTGTTGCTGACTACATGATAAAATAAGCTCTTTCAATTATAAAAGCTACATGATAAAACCAGCTCTTTCAACTATGTATGTCAATTATATAAGCTACAAAATAACACCAATTCCTACTAAACTTAGAGCTAAACAAGCTCGAATTCATCACCAAAATCTATGAGGACTTACTAGGGCTCAGGATAAAAATAGATTGGTCATAAAAGATTGCCTCTCTCATAAAACTATGATGGTGCAATGTAGGCTGCTATTATGAGGGATTACATCACCCAAACATTGTAATCTCAATGTAGGTTGCAATCAACATAGAATTGCCTCGCCTAAACATTACATAATTAATTAAAATAGGATGCATTCTCAGTTTGTTATCATCATCACTGCCCATCTAAAAAAACATATACCAAAAGAACACATACCAGAATTGAGTACCAAAGAAAGCCATCTGTCAATTGTCATTAACTTCAAACTGACCATTATATACCACAATAAGCCAACAACCAATACCTCAATGTAAGCACAAAAAGCCAACAATAAAAATTAGCAACAAGAATCAATAAAGCCTTTTATTTTGTAGTTATAACTGATATTTTCCTTTCCTCAAAACATCAAAAAAATTAAGAATGTACATCCAAACTATTCATGCTACCCGGTCACGCTAAATGGTGGATGCACTAGAACAAATAAACTTAATGATAATAGAATAAGTTTTTTTTATCATTTGAATTCATCATTGTATACTAAAATGCATATGTATTGGTTTCTTGACAGCGGTATATACAAAGTAATTAAAATTAACTATGTCCCAAGATTATGACAATGAAACAACACAAAGTAATTAAAATACACTAATTAAAAACTTACCAGCGTTGATCACTTAAAGGTGATTTTATACTCAAAATATATTCAACCTGATCAAGCTTTCATTTTAACTTATGCATGCAATTCTTTCCTTGCGATAATTTTCTTGCAAAGTTCGCACCTCTTATAGCCATTTTTGCAGCAGTTAAGAAGAAAGATCTATACTGCCTCAAATTTACACAAGCAGTTCCTTGCCTTTAGAGTATGAAGAAAAAACCACAAAAGAGAGTTAGTTAAAACTTCAAATTGGACTAACAACACTCATCTTAAACAAGCAATTTAAATGAGCAACTTATAGGCAATATATATATCCCAATATTATTTACTGATTTCAACAAATTACTGCATCCATAGTCAATAGGATTTTAAGAGGGAAAACATCAACTTATAACATTAAACTCATAAACTTCAAGAGAAAATAGAGTGCTTAAAACATAACTTTTGTGAAACATAACATTTGAATTAATAAATTATGAACCATCTATACTACTGATAATAAATTTTTTATCATACATGTATGAATACTCACAGTGAGAACAACTTATGAAGGCTTCGGAAGAAACAATTTATGATGTTGTATATTTCGAAGCTGTACGAACCACTATTCATCCTACAGTAAATAATACAGTGTATTTACTGTAGTGGTAAAACTGTGGCTAACTACCAATCCCCAGCTATTGCACTGTAGCTAACAGCCTATCCCCAGCTTACAAAATTAATCAAACCAAGCTCATGTTCACCCATATATTTTTTTCAAAATTCCCCAGTTGAATCAAACCAAGCTCATGTTCACCCATATATTTTTTTCAAAATTCCCCAGTTGACAAAATTCTCCAACTTGCAAAGCCCATGAATTAATGACACCAAGCACATGTTCAAGCAACATCACCCAAATTTTACAACTTCAAAATCTATCAAACTTGAGCAGCAATCTCTCAATATTCTCCAGCTTACAAAATTAATCAAACCAAGCTCATGTTCACCCATATATTTTTTTCAAAATTCCCCAGTTGACAAAATTCTCCAACTTACAAAATTAATGAAAGCAAGCCCCTGAATTAATGACACCAAGCTCATGTTCACCCATACATTTTTTGTGGGCCCCACATATTCAATCAAACTTGAGTTGCCACGTCATTTTGTGGGCCCCACATATTCTGCTTACAAAATTACCCTGCTCACACCTCAAATACATTAACATGGATAAAGCAATGTAGGCTGCTATTATGAGGGATTACATCACCCAAACATTGTAATATCAATGTAGGTTGCAATCCACACAGAATTGCCTCGCCTAAACATTACATAATTAATTAAAATAGGATGCATTCTCAGTTTGTTATCATCATCACTGCCCATCTAAAAAAACATATATCAAAAGAACACATACCAGAATTGAGTACCAAAGAAAGCCATCTGTCATTAAATTCAAACTGACCATTATATACCACAATAAGCCAACAACCAATACCTCAATGTAAGCACAAAAAGCCAACAATAAAAATTAGCAACAAGAATCAATAAAGCAAAAACCCAAAATCTAACGAAAGGGAACATCATGCAGAAATTATACCTGTAATTATTCATCAATAAAGCAAAAACCTGTAATTATACCTGTAATTAGCAACAAGAATCAATAAAGCAAAAACTTTGACATTAAGAAGGAATATAGACATAAACTTTGTACACATGCAATTAGATTCAAAATTGTTGTTAGGCAAATTAAGTTCTAAATTATGTATATATTATTTAATTTGTCATTTTATACTAAAATGCATATGTATTTGTTTTTTGACAGCGGTATATACAATAGAATTTCAGAAACGAGGACTACCACATGCACATATTTTGATTTGGCTACATCCTGCTCATAGATATCCAACACCAGCAAAGATTGATGAAATCATTGTCGCTGAAATACCAGACAGAACAAAGGATCCAGTTGGATATGATGCTGTATCAAAATATATGATGCATGGACCATGTGGACAAGTTGCACCAAGATCTCCATGTATGAAAAACCTGAAGTGCACAAAACATTTCCCCAAGAAATATATCAATCAGACCTGCATTGATGATGCTGGGTTTCCTATATATCGTAGGAGATGTGATGAAAATATTTGGGTTGAAAAAGGAGGAATTAAGCTTGACAATAGCTATGTGGTACCTTACAATCGAAACTTAGTTGTTAAGTATCAAGCCCACATAAATGTTGAATGGTGCAATAGAGGTAGATCTATCAAATACCTCTTCAAATATATCACTAAGGGACCCGATTATGTCTCAGCATCTCTTCAACATACAAGCAATAATGCAGCATCTTCTTCCAATGCGAAAGAAAGACTTGATGAAGTACAATACTATCTTGATTGTAGATATATATCTGCTCCTAAATCAATATGGAGGATTTATGGCTTTGATATCCACTATCAAACCCCCCCTGTTGAAAGGCTTCCGTTTCATTTAGTTGAACAGGAGCCAATAGTTTTCAAAGACATTGATAATCTACAAGATATTGTGAATGACGTTCAGTCCAAACAAACCAAATTTAAGGGATGGATGGAAGCAAATAAATGTTATCCTGAGGCAAGAGATCTTACATATGCAGAATTTCCGGCAAAATTTGTGTGGAAGGAAAAGGAGAAATGTTGGAAACCTAGAAAGAAAGGACAAAGCGTCGGACGGATAGTTTATGCACATCCATCATGTGGAGAAAGGTTTTATCTTCGCTTATTACTGAATGTGGTCAAAGGACCAACGTCATTTGACGATATACGAGAGTTTAACGGAACAGTTTATCAAACCTACAAGGAGACCTGTGCAGCAATGAGATTATTAGATGATGATAATGAATGGCAACATGCTATAGATGAAGCATCATATTCATCTTCAGGGCGTCAAATGAGACAGTTATTTGCGCAAATACTAATCTTTGGTGAAGTGGTAGATCCTAAAAAACTGTGGAATGACAATTGGAAGTGTCTTACTGAAGGGTTTATTGAGATGCAAAGAAAACTGCTCAATATGCCAACTTTAGATATGACTGATACTCAGCTTCAGAACCATGCTCTTTTAGAAATTCAAGACCTCTTGCTACAAAATGGTCAGTCCCTACTAAACTTCAGTGGAATGCCCACACCAGATCCCCAACTTTTAAAGCAAAGCAATGATAAACTTATAAGTCAGGAGTTAAACTTCAATAGGGAGGAATTAAGAAAGGAACATGAGATATATTTTCAAGGATTGAACACTCAACAGCGAGATGTATATAATGCTGTTATTGACTCTGTATACAGCAAAAGTGGGGGACTATACTTTTTGTATGGTCATGGAGGGACTGGTAAAACTTATGTGTGGAAATCAATTTGCACAAAACTTCGTTCGGAAGGAAAAATAGTCCTTCCAGTAGCATCCTCTGGAATAGCATCGATACTACTACCCCATGGTAGAACTGCTCATTCTCGGTTTAAAATACCAATCATATTGAATGAACATTCAATGTGTGGGATTAAACAAGGAACTCCAGAGGCAAATCTCATTAAACAGACAGATCTAATTATATGGGATGAAGCTCCAATGATGCACATATTTGCATTTGAAACAGTTGACAGAACGCTAAGAGATATTATGGGAAAAGATAATCCAATGTTGGCAGAGAAACCTTTCGGTGGCATAACAGTGGTTCTTGGAGGTGATTTTAGACAAATTCTACCTGTTGTACCAAGGGGCTCAAAACATGATATTATACATGCTACTCTCAATAGATCTAAGTTATGGAATTATTTTAAAATTTTTAAATTGACGCAGAATATGAAGATCCAACAGCAATCATCCGATCAGCTAGGAATGAATGCGTTTGAATTCAGTGAATGGGTACTTGAAGTTGGTAATGGGACATTATCTTTCAACGATTGTGAGAAAGAAGAGTCTAAAATTGCAATTCCACGACAACTTCTACTACAACCAACAAGAGATGCAATAGAAGATATAATTGCATCAACATATCCAGATATTCAACGGAATTGCTATAATCAAAGTTATTTGGAAGAAAGAGCAATACTAACTCCAAGAAATGAGATAGTTGACATCATAAACAATTGTGTACTGGATAAAATAGAAGGAGAATTCACAACATACCTCAGTTCAGATTCTATTTGCCAAACATCTCCAAATCTGCAATTAAATCAATCACTATATCCGACGGAGTTTCTTAATTCTTTGACATTTCCTTCCATGCCAAATCATGAGATAAAACTGAAAGTAGGAACTCCAATCATGCTCCTGCATAATCTAAGACCTACTGAAGGACTCTGTAATGGCACAAGATTAGTTGTTACTCAGTTATTAAAATGGGTCATCGAGGCTAGAATCATCAGTGGTAGCCACATAGGTTCAAAGCATTTTCTTTCAAGAGCTGTCAATACAAACACTAATTCTCAGTGGAATTTTCATATGAAACGAAGACAGTTACCAATTAAAACATGTTTTGCTATGACTATTAACAAAAGTCAGGGACAGACATTGAATTATGTGGGTTTGTACCTTCCAAGACCATGTTTTACGCATGGACAGTTATATGTCGCAGTGTCAAGAGTGACGACCCCTCAAGGTCTTAAAATTCTTATTGTTGATAATGACGATAATGTGGCTTATGATGGAGTTACAGTGAATGTAGTTTATCATGAAATTTTCAACAACTTGAATTAAGGTATTATAGGGATCAAACACAATGTAACTTGCATGTCATTATTATATTATAACAATAGTTTTAACTAGATTGAGCGTTAAATAGTGATATGGTATGAAGTATACATATAATACAAATAAACTGAACTTATTGAACCTTGGGTCCAATTATGCATTGTAATTTGTGTTCTATTATAAAACATTGCATACAGTTTAATGCTTTATATGTAAATTATATGATCTATCATACTTATTAATTGGTTACAGGTCTGCACAGCTTAAGATGGAAGTTGGAGTATACATAGCAATCAAGGATCTTAACATAAAATCAAAAGAGGTTACTATTAAGGCCCGTGTAACAAACATATGGGAGAATATTAACATCAAAACAAAAGAACATTATGGACTGTATATCATCCTCTTGGACGAATCTGTAAGAAATTTATAACCTTAGTCATTTCCATTGATTTCTTTATCGATAATGTTTTCGCACGAAATATAATTCATAACTTATATTTCCACCATTCAAGTTTAAAATTTTTATAATATATATATTCTGCAGGACACTTTAATTCAGGGAAGTATTCATGTTAACGAAATGTCTAGATTCCATCCTATGTTGGAAGAAGGCAGCATTCATGTTCTATCAAAGTTTCGAGTCATTCATTCATTTGGTACCTACAGAGCTACAAGGAACAAGTTTATGATAAGTTTCTGCAGGCAGACTCAAATCCGTATCTTACAAGATTATGAAATTTTAATTCCAAAGTACAAATTCCACTACACAGCATTCAGTGACTTGCCTTCACTCAGCACAAATAAAACTTACTTGACAGGTTGTAATTTTAATTACTGATTCATCTTTTCAATAATACATTTTTTCTGATATTATTAAATATATTCTATATCTTCAATAGATATCGTTGGAATTGTAAAGGAAATATACCCATTAGAACTAACTGCAAATGGACAAAAGAGTTGTCCTAGAAGATCACTGAAGTTGATAGATGAAAGGTAAGATTTAGTAACGACATTGTAGGAATATATATAAATAACGCAGCTTCATTCTGTTAAATTATCTTAATAATACTAAATTGCATCTGCCTTGATTACAACAATGCTGAACTCAAAGCTACATTGTGGAACAAATTAGCTGTTGAATTGGAAAGCAAACTTCAAAATCAAGACCCGAACAATATGGTCATGATTGTCACTGGTGTTGTCATAAATACTTTCAGAGGTAATATGAATAAGTTGAACCAATAATATTTATACAAATCAACTAAGCTTTATGGAATAATTTAAAAATAAAAGGTATATTTTCTTCAGGTCAATTCTCAGCATCAGCAAGTACAGGTTCAAAAGTTTACATAAACATTGAAGACACACGTGTGTTGGAACTATCACATAGGTAATTTTTAAGTTGCATATATGGCGAAAATTAGCCACTAAATTTTTTGACAAATAGTGAAATTATTGATGTACACATGCACAAGTACTATAAGATTTGCGACATACAAAACATGATTTACTTTCACATAATTTTCCAATTCTTACACATAATTTCTAATAAAATATGTATATGTACAGACATACGGACTCTGAAACTGAATTGCAAGTTATTGCCACACCAGTATACTTCAGTCCAAGCCAAACAAACTTAATGAAATCTGAAATAGCAACTTTGATGGAATTAATATACTTTGAAGACCCAAAAACAGCCGAAGTAAGTTAACATTCACACTCAAATGATGAACCAAATTTTATTTTTTAAGAAAATAGACATCATTATCATGGATTTGTGCAGGTCTATCATTTCTTATGTCAGGTGAAAATTATTGGCATACTTGAACAAAAATGGAGATATCATGGATGTCCATATTGCAACAAGAAAACAATGGAATCAGGAAATACCTATTGGTGCAGACAATGTAACAGGGAATTCCTACCAGAGAACAAGTAAGCAATTAATTTATTTCACGCTAGAAATAATTTTTTCTCACTCTTCATATTCTGAGTAAATTTTTTTTCTAAATATAAACGTATAAATAGGTATAGAATAACATTGGATGTAGAAGATAGAACTACAGTCAGTACATTCGTTGTCTTTGGAAAGGAAGCAGAAAATTTAATCAAAGTTTCAGCCCAGGAGGTATCAAGGACAATAGAATATGTAAGCTCGAACTCTAATAATCAAACTGCTACACATTAGAAGATAAATGCATTAAGAAGTGCGTAAGTAATGCGTGATTTTGTGCAGAACAATGAAAGGGAGATATTCCCAGAGATTATCAAATCAATTATTGGGAAGACTATAAAAGTTCAGGTTAAGCTAACAAAGTATAACTTCGAAGAAGGTAAGCAATTGTTTTGTTTGATTAATGATCTAATACGTTTATCTAATATATAGCAATAATATCCTACAAATTTAAAGATGGCTTTACATCTGTTTTTCATAGTTTTATTTTTATACTGATGAAACAGGCAATGAGAGCTTCACTGTTACAAAACTTATCGAAACTATTGAAGGTGATTCACAGGTACAAGCCTAAATTTTGAAGTTATCGAACTTATCAAAGTTATTACAAATGCTTATCATTTTAAATGACAATGTATAGTAAATTACATCTAATTTTCTCTACAAAGGAATCCCAAGAAGTTGACGTTGTTGATCTGCATGAAGACGCTCTCCTACAAACACCTAAACATTTTTCAAAAGATAAAGTTGTGTTCACACCCTTGACTAACACACCACTCAAGCCAAAGATAGAAAAGATTTTCAAAAGTTCACCTTTAAGGATAAAAGATATTGGAGAAGACGAGAACATTCAAAGGAATTCTACTGTCAAAGAAACTGAAGGTTAAGTTGATTAGCATTCATTTGTTACATGTTCTAAGCGCTATATGTATACAATATCATAAATAGCTCATTATCTATTTTGTGTTGTTGCAGATCTGAAAAGAAAAAGAACTTCCAATGAGTGTGACAAGGAGAAATGGATCTGAATTTTTATTGGAGTTGCTACAAAGTTTTTGTGCACAAACCTGATGAATTTTTTTTGGTCTTCAGATCCACTTCAGAAAAGCTTAATACCTTAGTGACTTTCTATATGATAATTGCTTTGACACACTCAGTGTGGTTATATGTATTAGTCTAACTTTAAGGTTATTTTGGAGTAAGTACTTTACTATGTTTAAGAACTTTCATGCATGAATGAATGGTAGTTGAATATTGAGTATGGTCATGTGTTTATGTGCACATAACATTATAGCAATTTCCATGTTTATGCAGCCTTCTTTCCTATGTCTATGTAGAGAAAGTACCCTCTCAACATTTACTCAAGCAGTTCCCTGCCTTTAGTATGAAAAAAAACACACAAAAGAGAGTTAAGACTTCAAATTTGAACTAACAATGCTCATCTTAAGCAGGTATGATTTCATTAAGCAACTTATAGGCTATTAATATATATGCCCAATTTAATTTACAGATTTCACCAACTTAGTGCACACACTCAATAGGATTCTAAGCGAGGAAAAACAACAAGTTATAACATTAAACTCATAAACTTCATGAGAAAATAGAGTGCTTAAAACATAATTTTTGTGAAACATAACATTTGAATTAATAAATTATGAACCATCTATACTACTGATAATAAATTTTTCATCATACATGTAGGAATACTCACAGTGAGAACAACTTATGAAGGCTTCGGAAGAAACAATTTATGATGTTGTATATTTCGAAGCTCTACGAACTTCACAAGTAATACAAATCTATCAATTTATGAAAATTATAAAGTTATTGTTGCTGAATACAAATCTATCAATTTATGAAAATTATAAAGTTATTGTTGCTGACTACATGATAAAACAAGTTCTGTCAATTATAAAAGCTACATGATAAAACCAATTCTTTCAACTATGTATGATTAAACTCATAAGCTACAAAATAGCACCAATTCCTACTAAAATTAGAACTAAACAAGCTCGAATTCATCAACAAAATCTATGAGGACTTACTAGGGCTCAGGATAAAAATAGAATGGTCATAAAAGATTGCCTCTTTCATAAAACTATGATGATGCAATGTAGGCTGCTATTATGAGGGATTACATCACCCAAACATTGTAATATCAATGTAGGTTGCAATCCACACAGAATTGCCTCGCCTAAACATTACATAATTAATTAAAATAGGATGCATTCTCAGTTTGTTATCATCATCACTGCCCATCTAAAAAAACATATACCAAAAGAACACATACCAGAATTGAGTACAAAAGAAAGCCATCTGTCAATTGTCATTAAGTTCAAACTGACCATTATATACCACAATAAGCCAACAACCAATACCTCAATGTAAGCACAAAAAGCCAACAATAAAAATTAGCAACAAGAATTAATAAAGCCTTTTATTTTGTAGTTATAACTGATATTTTCCTTTCCTCAAAACATCAAAAAAATTAAGAATGTACATCCAAACTATTCATGCTACCCGGTCACGCTAAATGGTGGATGCACTAGAACAAATAAACTTAATGATAATAGAATAAGTTTTTTTTTTATCATTTGAATTCATCATTGTATACTAAAATGCATATGTATTGGTTTCTTGACAGCGGGATATACAAAGTAATTAAAATTAACTATGTCCCAAGATTATGACAATGAAACAACACAAAGTAATTAAAATACACTAATTAAAAACTTACCAGCGTTGATCACTTAAAGGTGATTTATACTCAATATATTCAACCTGATCAAGCTTTTCATTTTAACTTATGCATGCAATTCTTTCCTTGCGATAATTTTCTTGCAAAGTTCGCACCTCTTATAGCCATTTTTGCAGCAGTTAAGAAGAAGAATCTATACTGCTTCAAATTTACAAAGCAGTTCCTGCCTTTAGTATGAAGAAAAAGCCACAAAGAGAGTTAGTTAAAACTTCAATTGGACTAACAACACTCATCTTAAACAAGCAATTTAAATGAGCAAACTTATAGGACAATATATATATCCCATATTATTTACAGATTTCAACAAATTACTGCATCCACAGTCAATAGGATTTTAAGAGGGAAACTCAACTTATAACATTAAACTCATAAACTTCATGAGAAAATAGAGTGCTTAAAACATAATTTTTGTGAAACATAACATTTGAATTAATAAATTATGAACCATCTATACTACTGATAATAAATTTTTCATCATACATGTAGGAATACTCACAGTGAGAACAACTTATGAAGGCTTCGGAAGAAACAATTTATGATGTTGTATATTTCGAAGCTCTACGAACTTCACAGGTAATACAAATCTATCAATTTATGAAAATTATAAAGTTATTGTTGCTGACTACATGATAAAACAAGTTCTGTCAATTATAAAAGCTACATGATAAAACCAATTCTTTCAACTATGTATGATTAAACTCATAAGCTACAAAATAGCACCAATTCCTACTAAACTTAGAGCTAAACAAGCTCGAATTCATCACCAAAATCTATGAGGACTTACTAGGGCTCAGGATAAAAATAGATTGGTCATAAAAGATTGCCTCTCTCATAAAACTATGATGGTGCAATGTAGGCTGCTATTATGAGGGATTACATCACCCAAACATTGTAATATCAATATAGGTTGCAATCCACACAGAATTGCCTCGCCTAAACATTACATAATTAATTAAAATAGGATGCATTCTCAGTTTGTTATCATCATCACTGCCCATCTAAAAAAACATATATCAAAAGAACACATACCAGAATTGAGTACCAAAGAAAGCCATCTGTCATTAAATTCAAACTGACCATTATATACCACAATAAGCCAACAACCAATACCTCAATGTAAGCACAAAAAGCCAACAATAAAAATTAGCAACAAGAATCAATAAAGCAAAAACCTGTAATTATACCTGTAATTATACCTGTAATTAGCAACAAGAATCAATAAAGCAAAAACCTGTAATTATACCTGTAATTAGCAACAAGAATCAATAAAGCAAAAACCTGTAATTATACCTGTAATTATACCTGTAATTAGCAACAAGAATCAATAAAGCAAAAACCTGTAATTATACCTGTAATTATTCATCAACTAATCAACGAAAGGGAACATCATGCAGAAATTATACCTGTAATTTCCGAAATCTAACAAATCAAGCAAAAACCCGACGATTTCCACTAAGAAAGGCAGGGATTTTGGCAAAGCCGACAAAAAATAAAACGAAATTCGAGGGAGGAGTCGACGAAATTCCAGGGAGGAGTAGATGACGAGATTCGAGAGAAGTCGACGATGAAATTCAAGGGAGAAGTCGACGACGAAATTCGAGGGACGACGAGCTACGACGCAACAAGATTCGAAGGATGAGCTTTGAGGGAGGAGTGAGCAACCAGCTTCGAGGGAGAACAATGAATACCCGAGCTCTAGAATCCACTTGGAGTCACGGATCTGAAGGAGAGAGAAAGAAGAGAGAGGAGCTCATCTACTTGGAGTTAGATCTGAAAATAGGGGGGAGAGGGAGAGGAGAGACGAACCGATCAGATCTGGAGGACGAGGTGAGGGGAGAGAGAGAAAGAGAGGAGAGAGCAGGCGATCAGATCTGGCTGGAGGAGGCTGATAGAACGAAGAAGAAAAGTGAAACCCTAGCTCTAGAATCCTCTCTCTTAGCTATTTATATGGATAGCCTTTGTAAATAAAATTTTAGAGAAGTAATATTTACAATAAATTAAATTAATAGGACTAAAATGCAAAAACTAATCGAATAGTTAATGGACTTCCGAAACAAACATACATTTTGTTAAATTCTATTCATTTATAAGCAGAATACTAATAATTATTTGTTTAGTACTAAATGAACTACCGAACCGAACTTGATCGAATATCTAGACGAATAATAACCGTCATAAGACTATTTATATATAGGGAAGAAGCTGTAAAAATAATTTTGATGGGTAATATTTGCAACAAGTTTAATTTATACGATTAACATAAAAAGGTTATCGAATAGTTAATAATCAACCTGATCGAATATAACTTTAGTTAAATTCTATTTGTTTGTAAGTTGAATACTGAAAATAATCATTTAGTATTAAATGAACAGTCGGATCGAATATGACCGAATATCTGGACGGAGATTAAGCGAATTGTTTATTAAATATTTGGTTTGTTTTCACCCCTAACCATCATATACTGCTTTGAATTATTCCTCAACGCAAGCCTCAAATTAATCTGAATAATCATCAATGTAGACGAATGTATAAGCGTCAGATCACAAAACTTTTGGTAACATAAATTTTAAATTTTAAGAGTATAATAATCAAATCAAATGTATTAAAACTTAGAGAGACGCAAATTTAAAATACAATGATAAAAAAATAAACGGCCGTGCTTTGCACGGGGTCCATACTAGTATATATATATAGGAGGATCTAAAGATGTACTACTAATGGTACAGTGCGCTACACTAAATTACTGTAGCGATATGACTGTAGAACAAAACAGAATGCTGTAGTTTTTTTTTGAAAAGTTGTAGCACATTACCCTAAAATTGAGCTCGAGTCGCTCGACTCGCCCTCTCCCCAAAACCTTCCACAAACCCTCGCCCTCGCTCTTTCTTGAGAGAGAGAGAGAGAGAGAAAACCCTCGTCTTTATTTATTTCCTTTTCCCCTCTCTCCCCTCTCTCGTTGATCTCGATGATGTTTAGGGTTTTCCAAGGGTCCAGGCCTCTGATGGCGGCCGCCAAGGCCGCGCCCAAGAATAGAGAGAGTCCAGAGCACGCCTGCCGCGCTCGCCGCCTCGTCGGACAAGCCGAGATGAGATCGGGATCATGAAGCCGCTGCCGGTTTCGCCGGCGCTGAAGAAGTTCGTCGGAGCTCCTGAGGTCTCTCGCCCTGAGGCGGTCAAAAAGATCTGGGATCACATCAAGTCCAACAACCTCCAGGTACCATGGTGATTTCATTATCCACCGCTTAATCTTTCGTTTCTAGGGTTTTTAGGGTTTAGGGTTTTTTGGCATTCGACTGATGTACCATTGGTTTGTTTGAAGTTCATTTCATGTTTATGAGTTTATCTGACTATATATTATGCGGCGGGGTTAGAAAAATGCATGTGCAAGAAATCGAGCGGAGCAGAAATGAGAACAGTGGCGTAGCCAGGAAATGGAGCTTGGGGGTACTCTCATTCTTCTCTTGCTAAAATATAAATAATTATATTAATAGTCACATTTGATAATACCAGTATTTTCTAAGGAAAACGACAAACCTCAAACTCGAAAATCCAATAGGATGTTGTTGTATATCAAATGATTGTTGACAATTTATTATTATTATTCCTGGCTCCGAAAATATAATAAAAACTTATACAACCAGCTCCTAAAAATTAATGACAAACTTGACAGTGACATTACAAAGTACCTCCACGATTTGCTAATTTTTATGAAATTGTTGCATAATTGCATCATTACTAATATTATCAAAAACTTCAAATTCAATATATGCTACTAAGCACTCATTTATTCACTGATCTCTTATGCAGTCACGTAGATTAGTTTTCACAATATTTATAGAAAATACTCTCTGAGTACTTTGCAACGGGCAAAATCAATGCAAACATTAGAATGTTGTTAAAAAAGAGATAGATCACATCTTTTTGTTATGTCCACCATCTTTTTGCAAAACTTGAAAATTTGAATTCGATCCAATTAAACTGTATAAAACTCTATTCTAGTTTTTAGGTCTACATCCTCAAAAGCCTATATGCAATGGAATAAATAACATGGTATAGCTTATTGTTCAAGCTATTAAATATGAATTAAAAATCCAAATTCAAAACTTCCAGTAAAATAAAATAGATAATTGTATAATTGAACCAATTGCTATTTCCAGTATAAATGATTTTTTTTTGCAACAAAAGTTTTCTTTTTGTTCTTTTATAAACAGTAATATTTTTTGAGGACTTGAAATCTTTTAACCAGACATTATAAAAAAGCATAAAACATCAATCAATATCCCACTTAGCCTATCGACTTGAACCAAGTTAGACAACATTGAATTAAATCAAGTTGGACACAGCTTTGCCTAGTCATAGTGTCGTACCCACCTAATGTGAAACTTATGGCTCTTATTATTGGGCTTAATATGAGCCCAATGCGACCTCCAATTGCTCTATTAAGTGAGCCCCACCCAACCTACTACTAAGGCTTTTAAGGAGAGAAGGAGGGAGAGGGGGGCCC